CAACAAGGCTGGATGGCAGCGATTCACACTTCTATCCCCAGCAGCTGCCTCCTTGTAGGAAGTTCCTCCTTGAGCGGACAGCTTTCACTTCTGACACGCGGACGAAAGCAAGCACCTGTCTCTAGGGGAGCCGTCGCATAAGAGGAGACGTCTCGTTAGACAGGCAGAGAGAGAGAGATGGCAGATACACACACGGTCTAAGCTCGCCACTACCACTTCCTCGGCGTCCGGGGAGACGGGGGTCTCGCATCTTCTTCCATAACAAACCCACAAACCCGGTGGAAGAGGGCACGGCGCACATGGAGAAGGGGAGGATGAGGGGTAGGAGGAACTTGAGGAGGATGGATAAATATCGGCAATTACTTTGAATGTAGAAGGAATGGGAGTAGAGAGATTGGAGGGTGGATTAGACAGGAGCATTTTCTTGGGTCAACTTTAGTAAGTTCTGGATATCTTCAAGAGCTTCTGGAGGGGCGTTAGGTGGGGAGATGAGAAACAAAGTTTTCTTGTGAGGAGGAAGAGATAGCAGAGGAGGAGGATGGAGAAGATGGGATGGAGCATTATATTGTAAGCTGCGACAGGTAAAGTAAGCAGGGGTAGGCACCAGGATGTGGTAAATACTGAAGTATCTGGAGGTAAGAAAGTGTGGCTATGTTTCCTGTCTGGCATTACATAAAGTGAGGCCTATTTTGAAGCTGAGAACTGCTACCTTAGATTCGAACTTGTAGGCAGGCAGCTCCAATAAAAGACATTGCAGGAGCCACCACGATAGGCACACATGAACGGTCATGACCAGGTTGAGCAAGGCTGTGGAGCTTGGAAGGCTTGGAAGGGCCTAATTCCACCAACTTAAATTTCATGGTGGTCATGTCTATGAAGCTAATCTGGGCAATATTGGTGTAGGATTTATGGTGACCTCTGGGAGGAATGATGTTGCACTGGACTGCTACTGTATCATAGTTAACAAGGCAGGAAAGCAGGTCGTTTTCACAGTCTGACTGATTGGTGTAGATTGGGCAGTTATTGGGGAGATAGAAACATTTTTGGCACTAGTATTAAGGGAGGAGTGAGGCTGGGCAGGGATAGGTTCACCAGTGAGGTCAGTCAAAGAAGGTAGTGCACAAGCTTGGGACTCGGATTTAAATGATAAGGCGTGAACGATCGGAATGACTGTGAAAGGAAACATTGCCTACTTGTTTTTGGACACCTTTTTGAACAAGGAGGGCATTGTCAGAACAAGTGGCTGTAGGGGAAATTGCAAAATTCGAACCCGATGGAGTGGTGTGGAGTTAGGTAGTACTGTGGGGAAGAGGACAATAGGGATAAGAATAGTAAAAAGGGAGGAGGGGGCAGAAAATGAAGAATATGCAGGAGGAGGAGATCAAGTGGAGGATGCTGGGAGAGAGGAAGGGATATATTCTGAAGATTAAGTAATGACCTGAATAGACAATTTGGAATGGACAGAATTGACAGCAAGCACTGAGGAGGGGTAGTAGTAGCAGTGGTCAGAGCTCTGAACAAAGGAGAGGCAGGGGTCAGGAAATTGGAAAAGTTAAATTTCAATAGCTAATAGAGGGGTGAGCCATAATGCCCCCCAAGAGAGTGAAAAATCTTCATTATTGGCCATGTTGAGCTTGAAATAAGTGGGGAGAAAAATGGTCTACCCCTCAGGGTCCCTATAAGGGGTAAGGGCTAGGTAATTAACCAAAAAAATATGGAGTCCATGGCTCCCACAGGTTGTTCAGGACTGACACAGAGCCAGTCTTTCACCTTTCATCATGGCTCTAACAACGATTGCAGAAAAGGAAAAGAGGAGAGGTAAAAACCACACGAAATTTGTTGAGCCAAGTTTGAGGCCTGAGAAAGGGGCTATCCCCAACATTAGGCCCAAATCCCCATCTCCTATATCCCCTCATAACAATGGACATGGGATTGGGGGAGCAGGGTATCAAAGGATATTGAAAGGCAACTTTTTCAATATGGGGGCTCTCTCTCACTTTTGTGCCAGGTAGCTTTGTTACTTTTCATTTGCGACGGAAGTACATAGAAGATAAGTTTCTTAAATTCATTCACCCTGTCATATCCATATATTGTTTACCTTGTAAGTGAAGGCTGGCTGAGAGTTAACTGATACCAAATATTGTGATAAGTTCCACTTTCGCAAATTTCCACCATAGCCTGCTGGCAGAAACCAATCAGGCACACAGCAGTGGGCTTCGTGTACATTTTATATTGCAAAGAAAGATAGGTTATATATGTATATAGATTGATATCTATTTATCTATCTATCTATGTATCTATGTATTACACATTGTAGATATATATAGATATATAGCTTATTAGTACACATAGATATATAAATACATAGATATATATAAATACATAGATATATATATAAATACATAGATATATATATAAATACATAGATATATATATAAATACATAGATATATATATATACTTGCATGGTTAGACTAGGGTGGTAATTGAGAAACTCAAACTATTCCTTTGGCAAGTTCATTCAGGAAACACAGGAAAGAAGCACCTTTTCTTCAAACACTTTAAATAATAATGATAACAACAACAATGACAGATGGCCAAGAGTTGATTTCATAACAAAACATATCCTGAGTTATTAGCCAGGTTAATAGTTGAAAGATAACTGTGTGTGTGTCTGTGTGTGTGTGTCTGTGTGTGTCTGTGTGTGTCTGTGTGTGTCTGTGTGTGTGTGTGTGTGTGTCTGTGTGTCTGTGTGTGTGTGTGTGTGTGTGTGTGTGTGTGTGTGTGTGTGTGTGTGTGTGTGTGTGTGTGTCTGTCTGTGTGTGTGTGTGTGTGTGTGTGTGTGTGTGTCTGTGTGTGTGTGTGTGTGTCTGTGTGTGTGTGTGTGTGTCTGTGTGTGTGTGTGTGTGTCTGTGTGTGTGTGTGTGTGTGTGTGTGTGTCTGTGTGTGTGGGTGGGCAAGTGTACACATACATGTGCATGTAGGGTGCTCTTTCTGCCATGTGTCCTCGGTCTCATAAACTGCAGTTATAAAATATTCTTTCATGACAATTACACTTCAAAATACATCGTGCATAAACTGTAAATGTATTCTCATTTGTCTGCAGGGCTTTCATTTTCCTTACTGACAAATACATTTCAGTACACATTATCAATAAATCATAAACACTGTTAATTATGGAAGGAACTTCCTTTTTCCTAACAAATAAACATCAGTAAAAATCTAAAAATACTGAAACTCCATCATATGCCTGAAGAATTTTCTTGCCTTCCTGACAATACCTTACATATTTCTGCCCAGAGTGACTACCAATTGCTACATATCTGAATTACAGTCATTAATCTAGAAACCTGCACATAGAATCGCCTGCTATTAATTAATCAAAGTGATCGGAAGGAGAGACGCCTGTGCACTCCCGCCTTGTACTTTTATCATTAGTAGTCTCACAATGAAAGTAAAAGTCTATCGATTAAATTCATAATACTTGGATAAATAATATGTACAAGAAAATAATTGATAATTAATGTCAATACTGTTAATTAGTTCATGAACCGCTATCCATTATTATCAAGCAGGAGTAAAAGGGAAGCATTAATGAGAAACTGCACTGCAAATTCTGACTGAGAAATAATTACATACAGCACACATAAGGGAGAGGATAAATTTCAAATATACATCCAAGACTTCTAAAATGGTCTCCTATAACTAAGGAACTTGCTTTTCTAAGAAGGGAACACTGTCCTTTGCTGAGACTGTGCTGTATACAACCATTTCCTTTTTATACACTGGTCTGTTACACCACTGTACAATGTCCATTCACATTTTGTTGCTTTATATCAAACAGTGCTTTCTTTACATCCTAAAGTGTCCTATGAAATATTTGACATCATTCATCAATATTCCTTAACTTCAGAATAATAAAAAGAAATGGTTACCAAATTTCCTTAAAGCTACAACATACTCAGTCATATGTGCTGGAAAATATCTTATACTGATTTTTTTAAAAGCTTAAAGACAACTATAACAGTAATAAACTCTTTTTATTTGGGGGGGGGGGCTAAGAATAAAATGCGAGAATGCAGCCTCAGTGCTTTCAAATAATGGGAGTGGCTGGACTTTATCCCTTATGGGAGATGACAGAACATGTAAAAATAATTAGAAATCTCCCCGGATCAACAATCCTTCCATGCCACTGTTTAGCCTAAGGTGATGGGTGTATTAGGTCTAGTGCACTGTTAGAACTGGCCAGTGAGAAAGATCTTGAAACTGCTATGGCACTCAAAAGTTTAAGCTACAGGCCACAGAATTCAATGAAAACGTTTGTTAGACTTGTATCATATCTGTAATGTAATTAAATGCATTTCTTTGTGCAATACCAATCCTGGGTCTTCTGTTCAAATCTCTTCTTAATAAACATATCCTAGAAGTGGATGACACTTAACATCTAAATGGGCTATTTCGTGCATTTTATCATTTTTTTTAAGTAAGTATCAACGTTCCTCTATATATTTGAAGAAAAAATACAAAACAAAACCTACTAACTACATTGCCTTCACATTCCCCTTTTTAATAATTTGCAATACACTACACTAGGTCTTGTATATGACAATATACACATTTCTAGTAATCTGTTATTCATAGCAACAAAATAAAAGTCAACTGCCAAGGGGAAAAAACCACCTTTGCAACATTGAATTTGTCTGTTTATAAATGGTGCGATTTTGTTGAATTTCAATAATGAAATGTTAGTTCATGTAATGTAAGCTCATTCATCTTGTATTTCCTATTCACCAACAAGGAAGCAAATATAGCGACTGAATTTTAAAGATCTTTTCCAGTTATAACTTTCACCTCTCAACAATGAAGAATTATTTTTCCTATGAAGTCCCTTTAAGAGCTAAATCATTCTTTATATCCTATAGAGCACTGGCTTGGTGCAGAGATATGAACTTTATACTTTTTCATCCCAAATAAGAAAAGGAATCAATCAATGGGTATCAACTATCAGACATAAACTTACCTACATGTCATAAAAAGTTCAGGAACAATACCACTGTAACTTGCACATTCACGCCTGTACAGACAGTTACAAAGAGGACTCGTTCCAAATCCTATGTACACTAACCATGGTCAAAGGTCAGACACTATCACTGAACAAGCAGACTACTAACATCAAAATTGGTTTCTTATAAAAAAAAAGAAAAAAAAAAGAAGAAAAAAAGAAATGGCAACACAAAGCCGCAGAAGACCATGAATCACAAGAAAAGTGAAGCTTGTGTTAGACCAGACAATACCTGTATCATTCTTCATTCTGCATTTGTTCTACAACAAACGACAAACCTCTTGCTATTTTTGTTTTATGAAACAGAGAAAAGGATAACCTCATCCCACATAGCAAACTACAGTGACAGTTCATTATTTTTTTTTTTTTATAAAAGGAAAAAAAAATGTATATATATATATATATATAACACATGCAAACAGATACAAACGGATAAATGCTCATGCATGTGCACACTGTCACATGCACTCACACTTACACTCGCACATACACAAACAAAAAGAAAAAGGTAAATCATACATGTACCATACAAGCCTATATCCTCCAAAAATTGATCACCTGATAATTCATTCACATAGTAATGTATCTGTAGATGTCCACATGTTTTCAGCACTAGAATAAAATCCCTGGGAGCTCAACATCATTCATCATAATGTGAATGCAAGCTGAAGGAATGAACCCAGCACTGAAGTACATATAGTTCGGCTGCACAAGCCTACAGTAAGATCAGTGCTCATAAACTGCCAATATTACATATGTATTTCTGGGGGAATTATCATCAGAAAACTATCTGCACATGCAGGTGTAAGACCAAAATAATCAGAGATCTGAAAAAGATACTTGATGGAAAATGAGGAATATGAGAGGGAAATGACATGAAATGATGTATGTTCATCTGAGACTTATACACCGTAAGTTTTAGACTGACAAAAATGACATGCTATATATATCTTAACTTGACGACAGCATAGGTAATGAGATGTCTGGAGAGTAAATCTGACGAATGGAATGTTAATCTGACGTCAGGAAAGTTCATTTGGTGTTGAGGGTTAATCTGATAATTGGGAAGTTCAAATGCTAACCCCCTCAGTATCATGGCTATGCGTGATCAACAAAAGTATATACCTATTTAGAAGTACAAACGTAAAGAAAAATGAACTTTTCATGACAACTGATAACCATGAAAGTGGCAGGATATAATCTCTCAAGGGGTATATGGAACACAAATATCAACCATCTTTTTTCATATAAGAGATCTTGCATGCATGCTGAAATCTTCCACTCGCTCTAACCCACAAATTCACGTTCAAGTATGTGGATGCAAAAAAAAAAGCTTTCTCACTAGTTCAGGCAACAAACCACTGGGTGCAATAATCTTGGTAGACTAGGAGTCAAAATATGGCAACAGTTCCAATTTCGTCTTTTCCAGCACTAGGACTGTTGGAAATGTCATTCTATTCTCATTCCTTTATTCTGTTTACCTGTATACAGGTAAACAATCCTAGATTCTGCACAAGGTCAAGTAGGTCCTCTCTTTATCATAAAATCTTTTCAAATACAATCTTTTCAAACTCCTGCCATATACACAACTAAAGGACATCTGTAACAAATAAAAATAAATGTACAATACAGCTACATAATAAAATAAATCTACTCACTACATATTGCAACAACCTTTACATATGATCAAGGAAAATGGCCGACTCCTTCCCCAGATGTCGTTCTATGAAGGCTGACATATATGACGCTGAATGAAGTGAAAGGCTGACTTTAATGATTCCTGGATGTGGTCCTAAACAATGACGACTGCTGAAGCCTACCAAACCTACTGAAACAAGTGCCCTAATGCTTCCTTTTCTCCCCCTTCCCTTCCCTTCCCTTCCCGTCCCCCGTCCTCCAGCCCTATCCGTCATGACTGATGTGCTTTTTCCGGTCCAGTTTGGGCACGATCACATCCTCTTTATTCTCTGCTTTGTGTAATGGCTTCGTGTTGCCTACGTTTTCTGTGCAGTCACACCAGGGGGTTATGTTGCGGTCGCACTCTAGGATGACATTGAGGATAGTGAGTGGAGCACCTTCTATCGTCATCTGAAATGGAAACGAAGGATGCAATAGAGAATAATGTTTTATAATTATAGTTCCCCTTGATCATCCTGTCAAACATACAGACATAATGTACATATTTTTTTCCAACAGTTATGTGAACATCAAAATATTTGAAAGAGATTTAAAAGAAAGAAATAGCACAGTATGTGCTCTCAACCCTCTCCTCCACTGTTGATTGCAATGTTAAAAGAATATATATATATATATATATATATATATATATATATATATATATATATATATATATATATATATATATATATATATATATAAATGCTAATTACATTCAATATCTTTCTCAAACACTCCCAAGGCCTCAAATGTATAACATGA